TTATTCATAAAACGTGACCAGCAATTGTGAGCATGCTGGGAAGATGCGGTTGGCAGACTGGGCGTACAATTTCTCAGAGTCGGTAAATTGTGTTCAGGAGTGTGCTAATCCGAATACCCTGGAGAGTGAATTTAATGGAGTCTAGGAAACGTCCGACCATTAGTCCTCAGACCATCAGTTGTCGATTGCAGTGGGTAATATTCAAAGAAGAGTATTTACGTTGCTCACTGGTCTATTTTACTCACCAAAAGAATACAGCTTCCCCACTTTGCTGTTGAAATTCGTTCTGAACCCCTTGCAGGGGCTCTGTAGCTGTGAGCTATGGATCCTCCTTGACTTTAGTGGTGTGAAGGTAAACACAACAAAGAGAAATGAACTGAAAAGTTTTGGCCTTCATTAATTTATTAAATAAGGGGAATATTCTATGGGAGTTAAGTAAATGCGGAATTCGGCATGCGTATTCCTACGAAATATCCTTCGGAAACTATCTTCTGTAAATCGCTTTGTAACCTGCAACATAGTACTCAATTTTACTAAGTAGTGTTTATTTTCTCGAGTCAGACCACTGGAAGTGGGACGGGCAATATCAGAAAAGTCGCATCGAACAGATTTAATTAACTCACTTCCCAAATTCACGACAGTAAAACCGTCGAGCTAGATTATTTCCGCCTTTTTGCGCGCAGCAGGATGGGCACAGGGATGTTGATCTTCGCGGGAACCAACCTACAGTGATGGTGGCGTACGCTATCTCTAATGAAGTCTCCTCTTCCCGCCCATTTGAGCCCAGTGTCATGATCAAATCAAAAAGGCCGAAGGTGGGATCGGGCGCAGGTTACTGGCGCGGCGTGGGTCCGCGCCTAGGCGTTCTTCTCACCCTCGCCCGTACACAAAGGACGGGGATCGATGTTCACACTGGGTGATGAAACGTTGTGGTAGCTTGAGAGTTCTCTACATTTACTCTTACCTTGGTTTGACGCATAAATGTTGATTTGGTACTAGCGGATTTTAACAGGTTCCGTCTATACAATTGCCCACCGTTGAGATCTATGAGATTTGCCTAATAACCTAGCGGTGATACGTAGACTAGACTATGTTCGGCTCCCTGCATCAGTAAGAGATTACTGAATGTTGCTGAATCTCACAGCCGTGAGACGCCTTCCGTAATTCAATAACAGAACGCTCAGAGCGGAATAAGTTTCCCTGGCAACAACTGTCCCGATCTTGTACCTTTCCTTTCTTTGGTGGAGTCTGCATCGAGGAAAGACAGTTGATTGTTGGTCGGTGTAGTCATTTTGTGAACTTGTCAGCTACTGTCTCGTGTGTGCCTGTTGGAGGTTCTTGGGTCAAAATTCACTACAACTATGTTTTCCTCATTCAGGGATAAAGCGAGGTCTAGAAGGCCAGAAGTTCGGGGAAGCATGCACAAATGCCCTCATCGGCAGTAATATTGGTATTTTATTGCTTCATCTCATATCAGTATTATTAATAGTGCCTCCGAAACTACTAACAGTTTTACTGTTATTTTTACTGAAAACAATTGACTATTTATGCTATTCAAACTAATATGTCTAAAAGCATTGCCAAGAGTGCCATTTCTAGGATCATTTTTACCGTCATCCGCTTTGTTATTCGCGTTAATATACTGACTGCCGATGTTATGTCCAATAATATAACTAATGTTCGGATAAGTACTACCTTTGTTGACTTAATTATTTTAGACATATCTGTAGATACTATCAAAATAACCACTTTCCTACTGTCATTACTGAAAGTATCACCGCTGTTAACAAAATTACGAATAGAGCTGTGTGCTAATTTTATTTCTCCTCTTATCATTACAACTACTGTTATACGGTCAGTAACACAAGTTCTATTGTCCACATCACTATGCATAACACCGCTGATACTATCGATTGTACAACTATCGTAACTCGTGTTATTACCGCTCCTTTAACCCAGATAGTACTTGTGTGGGAAAGGGCACTGATAATCCTGACATTACCACTTCTTTCAGGGTTGTTCTGTCCTTATCACGGCCACTGATGATGCCGTACCTACTCGAAAATCCCCCTCCCGTATCTATCCCTATACGTACGCTTTATATGTTTGCAACAGCCGCTTAAGTGTCCCCCTTCCCGACTCCTGTTTTTAAGGCGATGGCCGCGACAACCGTGCCAGCCTGCAGGCACACCGATGAGGCACGGCCACCCCCTCAGGTTTTATCTGAAAGGTCTCTTGACCGGCTTCCTCTGAGTCACAGCTGCGCCCCACAAACTGGCGTCATCTCAGGCGCATCGGCGCGAGTCGTCTTTCGCCCTTGGGCCCTCGAGATCCTGCGCGCGCTACTCGGCCCATGGACTGACCAATCACGTGTTCAGTACAGAGCCAGTCAGTTGCTCAGGCTAACAGATTTGTCAGACTCTCGCATAAACCACGCACCGCCCCTACGCGCAGCCGGACCGATACGTTGTTCTGACACAAGCAAACAGCCACGTCACGGCAACCTGCGGTTTGTATGAAAAAATTGATTCTCGCAGCTCGTTGCGTTCTGACAGTAGACGGGACGAGCTTAGGGCGTGAAGGCGAAACTTCCAATTCCAGGTGTACGCATAAGAAGAGAAGACTGGTTGAGCACCTGAACAGTCGCTTCATTGTTCTGAGCTTTCAAAGCCGTGCAGGAGTTTATCGTCAGAGACGATAACAACAAAATAACGAGCAACAATTATAGGGCGTGCTTGCCAATTATCGGCGATGGCGTATGGCTTGAGGTGACTACGCAGGGCTCTGAACGCTGGCGCCAGATCGATAAATCGATTAAGTGAGTTCTCTTCCGAGGCCCAGGCTTCAATCAATTCTCTACCTGTTTCGTTTCCGGCGTGGGTTAAGTTAAACTCGTGACCCCTTTCGTATGTGCTGGCCGCCACTTGTGATACTTCGTCACCTCGTCACACAGCCAGCTTATGTTCGTGTATGCACGATCCGAGCATGCGCCCAGTCTGTCCTGCGTAATTACAAGGACAATTTTGACACGGAATGCGATACACTTCTCCAGACTGCCTAACCGGTCTTTGATTTTCATGACCCTATTGCGCATGGTGGCTTTGGGGGTGTAACATCTCAACACCTAGCTCCGCAGCAATGCGCTCGGTCGCTACTGAAACCCCCTTGATGTATGGCAGAGAATGCCATATCGTCGGTGGCGTCGATGTTCAAGTTCTCTGGTGGCGACCGCGTAGGCAGCGACTCATGAATGCCCTCGGATAGCCATTTTGCACAAACTGGTCGCGGAGATAACGGGCCTCAGGTGCTCTGTCCTCCCATTTGCTGCAATAAGTTTGGATCCCTTAGAAGAGCGTCTTCACACAGCTTCGCTTGTGAGCCATCGAATGTTTGCTGTGAAAACCGAGAAGCTGTGTGGTGTTCATTGCCTTCCCATAAACCATCGTTTCAAGTTCACCGTTAAGATTTCTTTTGTCAAGTACATCCAGGAGGGGCGACTGCTCTTCCTGTTCATTTTCCCTCGTGGATTTTATAGCAGGGAAGACTGCGTTGAGCAGGCTGTGGAAATGTTGCAGCATGTCCTTTTTTACGATGACGAACGTGTCGTCTACGTAACGGCGCCAAAACACCGGTTCATGTTGGATGAAGGCAATCTTTTCCAGCTTCTGTAGGACCAGTTCTGCCATTCAACCGGAGACCGATGAGCTCATTGTGGTTCCCTTTATTTGTTCATAGGTCTCTCCCGCAAAAATGAAGAAAGTTTGTTGGTAGAATTTAAATAACCTCATGAGATGCTCAATTTCGAGTTCTCTCTGATTTGTTGTACGCCTCTTCAAGTGTCAAGCAAGAGACCTCGCGCGGCGGGTTTGGTTGATGCATGTGAATAACGACGTCACATCGAGAGAGGCCATGACTTCAATCGATTGAATTCACCTACTAAGGGGGTCTATGAGGAAGTGAGAGGCTGATCGAACTGAGGCAGTCGAATTGGCCTGGAGGATCGTCAGTCTTGAGTACTTCCACTTTGCCAAATAACAAGGGGGGCTGCCTTTAAGAGCAACTATTGGCCGCAGTGGGACATTTGGTTTATGCATTTTTGGCAAACCATAAAATCGAGCCAGAGCAGCGCCAGCTGTTTTGATTTGGTGCCTTTCCATTACAGTCTACACGGTTCGTTATGACAGCTGATCATCCATTTTCAGCAGGCAGAATGCTAATTGGGTTGTCCCTCCTCAGTCCGCTTCAAAATGCACTGTGTTGGTCTGCGTTTTATCAGCATGGTGGCAACAAGTTGTCCGACGGAGTGTTTTGTAGTCGGGTCGTTTCACTTCTCCCAGGCAGAGCTTCCAATGCTGCAATGAAGCCGATAGGACCGGCGTCTGCAGTGTTGAAACAGGTTTTATGCCGTAGCACTCGTAGGCACTGCTCTGTTAGCTGCTTAGACGATCTCAGAACAGTAAACAGACTGTTCCGGTGATCGACCAGTCATCTTCTGAGCTACGTGCGTGTTTAGTTAAAAGTAATCAGTCAGTATCCGTCGGTATATTTGGAGTAAACGACAGAAGCCCTGAAAACTCCATTTAGAGGGTACAGCTGTGTGGTGAGGTACCTGACTAATTTACCTTTGACAATTTAGTCCCATTTTCTTTGACCGCATTGCTTGTTTGAATGTGACGAAAAACGACACACCCGTACAACCCGCGTTGCTAGCGTGCTCCTCTGTCGTGGTCTGTTGTCAGTTTTCCTAACGTTTAAAATCTCTATATTATTCATTGCTCCGTCTTTACTTGCTGCCTTAAGGCTAGGGGCTCCTAAGATATAACTCGTTAGTTCGTGAGAACATTACCACTTACGACATTGGTGACTCCCGACGTTAACGCAGACTTTATACCTTTCTGTCATACTTGATAACATTTAACGTACTATTTGTTTGTGAATATCTATTCCATTTACACTTACTTTCCTCCCGAATTCTGATATTTTGCCATCTCTGTCTTATTATGTCTCACTCCAATCAACAACTTGATGCCCCCGCCCAGTCCCTTCATGCAATCAATTTTACCTTGCCTGAATTCTGGCAACACGCTCCAGAACTTTACTTCATCCGCATAAATTCAGCCTTTTATTCTGCCAACGTTACCAAGGAGCTAGCAAAATACCACAAACTCGTGGAGGTCCTTCCCGCTAGTATCATCTCTCAAGTTCCGTCCTTGCTAGCTAATCCTCCTGCAGATGCTCCCTACTCCGCGTTAAAGGCAGAAATCCTCCGACTTAATCCTGTGTCTGACCGACAGAGGTATCACCAGTTAATTAAGGAGGAGTCACTAGGTGACCGGAAGCCCTCAGAGCTTCTACGTCGGATGCGTTCTCTCCTTGTAGGCATGCAAGTTGATGATAAATTTGTCAAGGAGATGTTCCTAGAGCGTCTGCCCGCAGATGTTCAAACGATTCTGGCATCTGGTTCTCAGGATCTTACGGTATCACAGCTGGCGGAGATGGCGGATAGAATGATAGAAGCGCAACGGTTCCTGTCACCTTCCGTTGCCCAGATTTCCTCATCTTCATCGTCAGTGAATGAAAATCTATTGAAACAGGTGTCGGCCATGGCGGATGAGATGGCCTCCCTTAAAATACAACTCGTCCGCCTAACTTCCAGTCGCTCACGCAGTCGTCGTCGTTCTCGTTCGCGACCTCGGACTGCTGATACTTGCTGGTACCACACTAATTTCGGCGTAAGGGCCCGTCGCTGTTCCTCACCTTGCTTTTTTAAGTCGAAACAGGGAAACCAGTCAGCCAGAGAATAGATGCGATCGTTTTCTCTGGCTCTTCCGGTTCTGGTCACACCTTCTATGTTTGCGACACTGCGACTCGCAGAGTTTTTCTGGTGGACACTGGAGCTCATATCAGTGTTGTTCCCCCAACTGCAGCTGATCGTCGTTTCCCTAGCCCTGGTCTTCACCTTCAAGCTGCTAACTGTTCCCCCATTCCCACTTTTGGCAGTCTGTCCCTCACCCTGAACATTGGCCTTCGTCGGTCATTTACTTGGATTTTTGTGATTGCTGCCTTCCCTCATGCAATCCTCGACTCGGACTTTCTTGCCGAGTTTGATCTTCTTGCTGACTGTCGACGTGCCCGTCTCCCCGACCGCACAACCGGTCTGTTTGTTGGTGGACCAACTCCCTTTACTGCCCCCACAAATTTATCTGTTTTGGATACGGATATTGCTAGTCCTTTTCGGCAACTGCTTCTTAGTCACCCCAACATAATTAACCCCCAGTTTCGCAGTTGTGAGGTTCAACATGATGTTGTGCACCATATACGCACGTCAGGTCCTCCCGTGTTTGCTCGACCGAGACGACTAGCACCGGAGCGTTTCCAGGCCGCGAAGGCGGAGTTTGAACACATGCTGCAACTGGGAATAATTCCACCGTCCGAGAGCCCTTGGGCGTCCCCACTGCACACGGTGCCCAAAGTGACATCAGGCGACTGGCGACCCTGTGGCGACTATCGTGCCCTCAACAGCGCTACCATTCCTGATCGGTACCCCGTGCCTCATCTTCAGGACTTTGCTGGAGCCCTTTTCGGCAAAGCGGTTTTCTCGAAGATTGATCTGGTGCGTGCCTCTCATCAGATTCCAGTTGCTTCCGAATACATCCCTAAAACCGCCGTCACCACACTCTTCGGTCTCTTTGAGTTCATCCGCATGCCGTTCAGTCTTCGTAATGCCGCCAAAACGTTCCAGAGGTTCATCGACCATGTTTTACGTGGCCTACCCTTAGTGTACGCCTACATTGATGACCTCTTGGTGGCCAGCTGGAATGAAGAAGAACACAAAGAGCATCTTGCCTTGGTGTTTGACCTTCTTGACAAGTTTGGCGTTGTCATCAACCCCCTTCAAGTGCGTGTTGGGTGTGCCTTCACCCGAGTTCCTCGGCCATCAGGTCGACTCTGAAGGTTTGCGACCCCTCCCCTCCAAGATTGAAGCAGTTCGTAATTTTCCTCCTCCAACTTCCAAGCGTCAGTCACAGCGAATCCTCGGCATGGTCAATTTTTACCGTCGGTTCCTACCGAACTGTGCTGACCTCATGCTGCCGCTCACCAACATGCCTTCTGGTCCCAAAGGTCCCCGGGAGCTGACTGGTGAAGCACTAACTGCTTTTGAGAGAATCAAGAACTCGCTTGCCGATGCCACCTTACTCACGCATCCCGCTCCCGAAGCTCAGCTGTCCCTGATGGTAGATGCTTCGACCGTAGCCGTAGGTGCAGTCCTTCAACAACACCTTGCTGGCTCGACTCAACCACTCGCCTTTTTCTCCAAAAAGCTCTTACCAGCTGAGACACGCTACAGTACCTTTGGCCGTGAACGACTTGCCATTTACCTGACTGTGAAGCATTTCCGGCATTTCCTTGAAGGTCGTGACTTCACTGTTTTCACTGACCACAAACCGTTGACTTTTGCACTTCGTTCCCACTCCGACAAATACAATCCGAGGGAAATCGCCCACCTGGACTACATCTCCCAATTCACCACCGACATCCGCCACATAGATGGCACGAAGAATGAGGTGGCTAATATGCTGTCCAGACCCTCACTGTCTTCCCTCCAACTCTTACACGGGATCGATCTTTGTGCCATGGCACTGAGCAACAGCAAGTCGATTGACGAGTCTGTTAGTGGTCTGCTACTCAAAGACGTTCCTCTGACCACCGGCTCTGGTACAATACTTTGTGACGTCTCAACTCCCTTTCATCGCCCTTTTGTGCCCGCCTCGATGCGTCGAGCTGTATTTCAAACTCTGCATGGACTCTCCCACCCTTGGATCCGAGCCTCTCAAAATCTCCTCGTGGAAAGGTTTGTCTGGCCTGGCATGAACAAGGAAGTCAAAGCTTGGGCTCGGTCGTGTCTGAGCTGCCAGCACAACAAGGTGCAGCGTCACAACAAGTCCCCACCAGGCACTTTCCCCAGTCCCGATGCACGGTTCAGCCATGTGCACCTGGATATCGTAGGCCCCTTGCCTCCATCCAATGGTTTCACCTACCTCCTTACCTGTGTCGATCGATATACTCGCTGGGCTGAAACTATTCCTTTGCCGAATGTTCAGGTTGAAACCATCGTAAAGGCCTTCGTCAGTCGTTGGGTCGCCATGTTCGGTGCCCCATCCACGGATACGACTGATCGTGGTGTCCAGTTTGAGTCGGCACTCTTCCAAACGGACGACAGCCTACCACCCAGCTGCCAACGGTTTGGTGGAACGTTTTCATCGTCAGCTAAAGACCGCCCTGCGTACCGATGAAGACCTAGGAAACTGGTAGGACAACCTTCCTCTTGCACCCCTCGGCATCCGCGCAGCTCTGAAGTCGGATCTGGGCTGTAGCGCAGCTGGATTGGTTTTCGGCACTACCCTCCGACTGCCAGGCGAGATGATCACCCCAACCTCTCGTGGAGCCGACGAGACTCCTGACAATCTTGTGCACCGTTTGCGGCAATTTATGCGCTCGTTTTCCCCGGTTCCACCTCGAACTCCAATGACTGAGTCTTTTGTCGAAAAAGACTTGGACAAGTGTACTCGTGTATTCGTCCGGTGTGACCGTGTGCGCCACCCGCTGGAATCACCATACGAAGGACCGCTCCGCGTGCTCGCGCGCAACACCAAGACCTTCCGGATCCTTCGCAGTGACAAGGAGGACGTGGTCAGTGTCGATCGGGTCAAGGCTACTGTTGCAGAGGAGCCGCCGGACCGGTCACAAGGACAAAAGTGTGCTGAACCTCCAATCCCTGTTCCTCCATCTTCCCTATCCCCTGCTCATTCACCCTGCCCACTACCTTGCTGTTATGACCCGGAAGGAAGGTAGGACAGGAAGAGGGCCGGTTCGGAGGACAAGCACTTTATTGGAACTTGCGAACAAGAGGGGGTTTTTCTCGTAAGAAAGGTGTGCTATTTATTGGCTCCCGTGCGTTCTGGAACATTCCGTCCAATGACGTGCCAGTCGTAGAGGGCGTTCTAGAATGTTCCTGTCCCGAGCGTGCTGGTCGCTGATTGGCCACCGCGTGCGCGATAGCCCCGCCGCGGAAACGTCTGGAATGTTCGGCCATCCATTGATTGGGCCGCACACGTGAGCAAAGCCACCACGCGTGCTCGGCGCTGCAGTGCGCGCCGGTCGGTTGTCTAACATCGCGCGTGACTCACGTCGCCGACATGGTCCTTTGTTTGGCGCCTTAGGCCGTGCCTCTACGCCGCTTTTGCTCTCCATAACACTTGCCCTTCCCCTCCCTTGCCCTCCACCCCTCCGTTCCGAATACTTCCTCTCCCTACATGTCAACAGCATCCAACTGCAACATCATCCTCCACCATAGCACGCAGTCAACCCTTTTCCACTGCACCTCCTGCTTACATCACCCGCAGTGGCCGTCAAGTTCATTTCCCGGATCTTTTAGTTACGCATTTTTTCTAGACTTGTGCATATCCTCCGGCGCCGTATTCCGTCGCCCTCCGGTCTAGAAGGGGGTTGCTGTGGTGAGGTACCTGACTAATTTACTTTTGACAATTTAGTCCCATTTTCTTTGACCGCATTGCTTGTTTGAATGTGACGAAAAACGACACACCTGTACAATCCGCGTTGCTAGCGTGCTCATCTGTCGTGGTCTGTTGTCAGTTTTCCTAACGTTTAAAATCTCTATATTATTCATTGCTCCGTCTTTACTTGCTGCCTTAAGGCTAGGGGCTCCTGAGATATAACTCGTTAGTTCGTGAGAACATTACCACTTACGACAGATGTAAGGGAAAATAGTTAAATTGCAAAACTTTCGCTTGCAGTTTTAGTAATGAGAATTCATAAATCTAATAATGTAACATAAAGGCGAAATTGGCACGGTAATCATTTATCCTTGATCGCCACAGGTTTGCCACGTATTACAGCCCACATGCAGCGCATTCACCGGAAAGACAGAGTAAGGAGGACCATGCTCGCCAGCAGTGTCTGGTTATTCAGGGTTTGTCAGAATCGAATGCAGTCAGACCTGAAGACCGTGTCTCAGAGGACCTTGCTTCCTTTCATGGTCTGCTAAATCATTTACTGCCGGCAGACATGGAAATAAAGGTTCTGAAAGCATTCCGGATAGGAAAAAGGAGTGAAGACAGGACAGTAGCACAACCACCTCGCCCTCTCAAAATTATGCTGGAGAACAAAGAGCAAATCAAGTTTATCCTCTCTAAAAAAACCGATCTCAGAAACACACACAAACAGGTTTTTTTTTCAACCGGACTATTCACCAGCGGAACGGTTGAAACGCCGGGAACTTGTCTTGGAGTTAAAATCAAGACTGAAGGATGGCGAACACAATCTGGCTATCTTCAAGGGGAAGGTAATTCGGAAATATATGCCGTTTCAGTGGAACCAGCCTGTAATACTACGAACGACGACAGCTACTCAGCTAAAACAGACACCTTCGTTGAACCACCTGATCAAGGCGCCAACACAAGTGTGCCCGTAGCGTCCAGTGATCTGACTGAAACAAGGCATGTAAATGGAACCAATCAGGTAACGGAAGAGCCTAGAGAACACGACGTCCGCGATAACGGAGTAATGCTCACAGCAGTAACAAATGCAACGGGAAATTCCGCTGGTGCTAGACTGAGGTGCTTGTACACGAATGCCCAAAGCCTCCTATCGAAAATAGACGAACTAAAACTTTGCCTTGTTGAGCTGTCTCCAGATGTTTTAGCAGTAACTGAGACCTGGCTGTCCGGGAATATTAGCGATAACGAAGTAGCCTTGCCTGGATACCAAATTTATCGGAGGGACAGGGAACATCGTCAGGGTGGTGGTACCGTTGTGTATGTGAATGACGGTCTGGCAGTGTCGGATAACACCACCAAGTTTGTGTGCAGTACGGAAGCTATCTGGTTGACCATCAAGGCTACCGGTTCCCCGTGTCTCGATGTCCTCACTGTCTACCGACCACCTCGGACAGACCGAATCGCCGACACTCAACTATTGGAGCAGTTGGAGAAATTTTCCAGTAGACCTAACATCATGATCATGGGCGACTTCAACGCACCAGGAACAAACTGGAATACCCTCCAAGCGTCAGGTCCAAAATCGGCATTCGATTACCGCCTGTTGAGCAAGACATTAAATGCGTGCCTCACACAATATGTAATGTTCCCAACGAGAACACGTGAAGGACAAAGGGCAAACTGCCTGGATCTGGTCTTTACGAAAACACCAGACAGCATAGACGAGATCGCCTCCATGCCGCCCCTTGGCCGAAGTGACCACGTAGTGCTTATGTGGGATTATTCGTTATTCTCCATTTCACACACTCCAGGCCACAAAAGGCGTAATGTTTGGCGGGGCGATTTCAATCAGATGAGGGCAGACTTATCCGGTCTTGACTGGGGCTCTTTGTTCACGGGAATTGCCAACGATGACTGGGAGCTGTTCAAGAATGTCCTTCTGCAGCTCATCAACAACCACTGCTCACTGACTAGTGTAAGACTGAACAAACGCCCTGGGTGGCTAAATAGCAACCTCAAAAAAGAAATCAACAGGAAGCACAAATTGTGGAGAAAATACTGCGTCACTAGACAAGCTGAATGCTTCAACACCTACAAGACACAGAGGAAAAAACTGAGGAAGCTGATAATTCAGACGCGGCGGGAATTCGAGAAGAACTTGCTACAAAAATCAACGCAGAACCCAAAATTGCTCTACAGCTACCTCCGACGAACTACAAGGAACAGGCATCAAATCCCCTTGATAAAGACTACTGATGGCGTTGAGATCGCTGATAGTAGGGATAAAGCTGAGTATTTTTCACGGTTTTTCCAATCAGTCTATACAAACGAGGCAAGGTTCCTTCCTCCCTCCACAGAAGAACTGCCGACTCCAAGCGTCAGTGATATACTCTTCTCAGAAGGCATTGTCCGAAGAGAATTAGAGGCATTGAACGAATCGAAGTCGCCAGGACCAGACGAGATTCCATCCAAGCTTCTGAAGGAACTTGCCCGTGAGCTCTCTGTGCCTTTGTCGATGCTCTTTCAAACGTCATTTGACACTGGAACACTTCCTGTCCATTGGAAGCTAGCGCATATTACTCCGCTACACAAAGGAGGTAACAGGGCAGCGACGACAAATTACCGGCCCATAAGCTTGACATGCATTCTCTGCAAAGTTATGGAAAGGATCATAAAGTGAGAACTAATGCAATTCCTGGAAGTTCACGGCCTGCTATCGAAATGCCAACATGGGTTCCGAAAAGGAAGATCCTGCACGACAAACCTGCTGCAATCTCTCCAGAGCTGGACCCAAGCTCTCGACGACAGGCACGCGGTCCACATAGCCTTCATCGACTTCCAGAAGGCTTTCGACACTGTGCCACACCAAAGGCTCTTACATAAGCTGAAAAAAATAGGGATCGGTGGCAACTTCCATAAATGGATCGAAAACTTCCTTGTGGGTCGACACCAGGTTGTGTGCGTCGGTCGGGGAAAATCAGATCCGGCTATGGTCGAAAGTGGTGTCCCCCAGGGTTCAGTACTGGGACCCATTTTGTTCCTTATCTACGTGGACGATGCCGCAAGAGATTTGGACTGTGAAGTAGCAATGTTTGCGGACGACATGAAGATATGGAGTGTAATTCGTGGTCCTGCCGATGAAGACAGACTGCAGATGAACCTGAATCGGTTGGAGGAGTGGTCAAACCGTTGGCTCCTGCGGTTCAACGTTGCCAAATGTAGCATACTTCGCCTAGGCAACACAGCCAGATCCGCCAGCACAAGAGGCTACTTTCTGGGCGGTGCAGCCCTACAAGAGGTCGAAGCCCAAAAGGACCTCGGTGTGCTTACGACGAGTTCCCTAAAACCATCCGCCCACTGTTCGAGGGTGGCAAAAACCGCAATGTCCGTACTGTACGCCATCAAGCGTGCGTTTATGGACTTTGACGAAGAAGCCTTCTCTAAGACATTCGGAACATTCGTCCGGCCGCATTTAGAGTACGGCATACAAGCTTGGAGGCCGTGGG